GGGGTCGGCTGCGAGCTGTCCTGCTGGAGCGGGAAGCGGTGCTCCTGGTCCCCGGGTCCTTTCCAGCGCCGCCGCCTCCTGGTACCTTGTTTGCTCATCTCTTGTCATAAACGGGAGGAGATATTTGTGAAACATGGTGAGAATTCTTCACTAAGCACTGAGCAAACAGCCTGGCTTCTGTGTAATGGTCCTTGTAAGTGGGACTCAGCAGGTCGTTGAACACATGTTTTCTGAGCACCTCTCGCGCGCGCCGGGCCATGTGCTCGGTGCACGGTTCAGAAGAATTCGGTCTCTGCCTCGATGGGGGGAGAAATCACGGCCAGCGCATCCAGCGCGGAGGTGGCAGACTGGGCCCATCTGGGGCTTATCTCTGAACGCTGTGCCCAGGTCTGAAAATCGGGGAGGAGCAGGCTGCTGGAAGCCCGGGCGTGCTCTCTGAGATGGTTGCCCGCCTTGCTCAGGTCCCATTTGTGCTGATGGTTTTTACGCCCCGACTTTGGTCTCAGGCTGTCATTTATGTTCTTATATCTGATTTTCCTTTCCTGATAAATATGTGGAAAGCCACAAGCATGAATTTTTTTTCCCCCGCCCTATCTTCCTCCTTCCCTGACTGGCAGTGGACTTTTATGGCAGACCGAAAATAAATAAATACCAGTTCTGTGACCAACCTCCCTGGCACTTCTTGGTACAGGAAATTTCCTGACCTCTGTCTCCAGGATGTGGATAATTTCTACGAAAGTGACGCAGATGTTCTGGGGACAAGGGGCTGGGGACAGCAGCTGTCTAGACATGAATGATTCGGAGGTGACCAGGCTGGTTCTCTGGTTCCTTTAGGCTGGTTGCTTTAGCTACGCTCCTGCTGTGGGTAATGGAACTTCCCAGGAATTGAGTGCTGCCCCTGCTGGGCCTGTAAAACTTGGATTTTTTTTTTTTTTTTTACAAAGATAAATATGGGCTGCTGCTTACTAGGCTCTTTTTTTGATAAATTACCTGTTACTCTTCGTTGTAGAGATTAAATGGCCAAGACAGACAAGTGGAATTAGGCCTTGGTGTGGAGACTTTATTTTCTTCATTTAGGATGAGGCGGCTAATGAAACCGTGATGTTTGCTTGTTTCTTCGCAGGTGAATGTTATTGCTCTGTTCTCTGTTAAACTTTCTTGGATCTTTGAGGTTTGGAAAGAGTTTTAGTTATATGCACACAAGACTTGTAAAAAGACTTTATTATATTAATAAAGTATATAATACATTATCTCTTTCTAATGAGTAATTGTGGTGGTTTATAATTAAAGGTCTTGCAACGAGGTTGTTAAAAAGAAATAGAAAACCAAAGCCATGGAGAAGACTAGATAGCAAATGCTGTTGAAAAGTAAGGGTATTTATTCACTGAGATTGGAGCTGAATTTGATCTTGAGGTTTCTGGTATCCCATGTAAAAAGGTCAACGTAAAGGCTGAGTCACATACACTTTGTTATTTGATAGAAGTACAATAAATATATATATATATTAAAGTTTAAGCATTAAAAAATTAATGCATACTCACTGTGGAAAATTTTAAGACTCAGAGAAGTTAAAAAAAAAAGTTCTCTGTGTTACCACCATTAAGATTTTGGTATTTCTCAACAGCATTTCCCCCCCAATAGTTATCAATTATTAAAGAGGTCTTTAAACTCCAGCTTGTAAAATATTCTTTGTAATTGAATTTTGAAAGAGCCCCTTGGCCCCCCCCCCCCAAAAAAAAATTGCATTTAATTGTTTTATGTCTAAATTTTCATAAGTAAATTTTAGTGGTCTGGTGAATTCCTTTATTATTTGCTGCAGGAGCTTGGAAAATAGGATGGGAACCTGCTAGAAAGCTGCATTGTGTCCTTAAAGTGGGGTTTAACACTGGTTTTCAAGACAGGAACTTACAGGGTGCCCTGAGTGATTTAATGGAAATGGTCTTCGACAGTGATTTTAAAGTCTGTGTGTTTTGGGACTGAGAAGTGACTGATAAGGGTGTGTGGTCTGCACAACCACTTTCTTTTATCAACTGAAGACAAAAGGATAGTCAATTCAGAGGTGATCTGGTAGGATTTTGTTGCACCCTCCCTCCCCACAAATACTGGGCTTCTTACCTAGAGATAGCGGGCTAACTACGAACTCTGTTGTAATCAGTGATGTTCATCCCTTTGCTGCAGAAAGGTTTGCAAGTCTACTCCGTGGAGACAGGATAAACAGGGCATCTCACACGGTAACCCACTGCTTTTTGAGACTGTGTGTAGGTACTGTTGTGACCAATTAAAGGCTGAGGAATTAAAAACCGCGCACTGTGACAAAATGGGAGGAACCACTCACTGTCTTCGCCTCGCTTCTCTGAGTGATCACTTCCCTTTAGTTCAGCCTTTGCTGCTGCTGTTCTGGGGAGCAAGTGACTAAGGTGTTTAGCGTTTGCACGGTCATTTCCCCCCACCCCCATCTTTTTACCTGTATCTTATTTATGTCTTTTAAAAAAAAAATAGGTTTCCTATAGACTGCGTGTTGGGTTTTGCATGTTTAGGTAATCTCAATCTCTCAATGTCTTTTATAGGGTTTGTTGTGTATTTTCTGTTCTAGGTGTTTTCTGTTTTGTTTTGTTTTGTATATTTTTATTCAATGATCATGGGCTGAGTACGGATCCTGTCCTAGGCCTTGTGTTGGGGCTGCTGACACAGACAAGGAGCTCACAAACTAGTTGGGAGAGACTGACAGTAAGTAAATGCAGCAACAGAGTGAGGTGGCTGCTAAGGCAGAAGTGTAGACTAGAAACCGTAGGGGTACAAGGAGATGTGGGGAGAAAGAGGGCCGTCAGGATATTATTGAGGGAAAGGTGGGCGAAGAAGAGTGTTAGAGGCCGAGTGCTCAGTGTGAACAAAGACGTGTGTGTCTGGTAGGCTCCAGGGTTTAGGAAACTGCAAGTAATTCAGTGTGACTGGACTGTGGGGGACTGTGTGCCGGAGGGGATTAAGCCCTGCTAAGAAGGTTGGAATTTGTCCTAAAGGCCTCAGACAGTACCTGAGGGAGGGTTCCTAACTGAACTCTGATACTGATGGCGTAGTAGATAGTAGGAGCCAAAGCTGTTTTTTCCCCATTGGAAGTCTGTCTCCCACCCCTGACTTGCCCCCATCTCCTGCATCGAGTCCTATTGCAGGTACCAATTTTATTTTTCTCAGAATTCATGTAACTACTTAGACAGGAACTATGTTGGGCCGTTCCATTTTCAGGTCTTCTGGATCTTTGCTGATTTTATTTATTTTTCATTAAATCTTTATTTTTTTTAGGGGAAGGAGGGGGACGGGAAAGGCAGGGTGTGCTCTGGGGAGGGAAGTGCACTGTCAATCTTTATTGTGGAAAGTATTACATATGTCCCCCTTTTCCCCCATTGACCCCTTCTAGCCCACCCCCCCTTCTGATTTTATGTGTACTTGTTCTATTGATGATTGAGAGAGGTGTGTTGAAGTCTCCAACTATAGTTTTGGATTTGTCTATTTCTCCATTCAGATCTATCAGTTTTTGCTTCATGTATTTTGAAGCTGTGTTGTTGGAAGAGATATATATTTAGAATTGACTTCTTGGTGAATTGACCTCTTTGTCATTATGTAATACCCCTCTTTATCCCTAGCAATATTTCTTATTCTGAAGCCTATTTTGTCTCATGTTCATATACCTACTCCACGTTTCTTTTGATTAGCGTTTGCATGGTTATTTCCCCCCCACCCCCATCTTTTTTCCTCTAACTTATTTATGTCTTTTTTTTAAAAAAATAGGTTTCCTATAGACTGCATGTTGGGTTTTGCATTTTTAGGTAATCTCTCAATGTCTGTCTTTTAATTGGTATGTTTAGATCATTTACATTTCATGTTATTTTTTTATATGGTTGGATTAGAATCTGCTGCCTTGCTAGTTTTCTGTTTTCTATTAGTTCCTTATGTTCTATGTTTCTTTTTTCTGCCTACTTTTGGATTGGGCACTTTTATGATCTGTTTTATCTCCACCGTTGCCTTATTGTTTATACCTCTTTTTTTTAAATTGGTTGTCCTAGTTTTACAATGCATATCTTTAATTACTCACAGTCTGCTTTAATTAAATTGCATAATTTCACAGATAAAACCCTAACAGTATAACTCTCAATTCTTCCTCCTTATCTTTGTACTGTTGTTGTCATACGTTTTGCTTTTACATGTGCTCTAAGTCCACAGTACATTACTACTATTTTTGCTTATATTCTAGAGCAATGAAAAATAAACAACAAAAAAGTATTTTAAAATATTTACCTCAGGCCAATTGATATTTCCCTACAACTCTTGGAGGCTCTATTCTGTTTTATTTTTTTTCACTTTTTTTCCATTTGGACTCTTGTGGTTTTCATTTCTTTGCTGAGATTTCGCATCTGTTCTTGAATGCTGTCCAAGTTTCCTATGAGAACGTTTATGTATTAATTGTTAACCTACAAATAAAAGGCCAATGTGAGAGGCTACAAACATTTGAGACCTAAAACAATAGCACTGGTTTAGGTAGAGAGGATTAGGAGGTGAAGGCAGAGAGAGAGAGGGAAGGGGAATGATGACATGAAAAGGAGGGAGTTTTTGTGGGTGTAAATAAGCTAAGGAAGGAATTTCCATAGATGCAGATAAGCTAACAATAGAAATTTAAAGAATGTCTTTAAATTTCAGGCCTCCAGCCCAAAGGTTATTTTAACCAGTCTTAACATTCCAGAAGTTTGAAAAGTAGGATATGCAAGGCAGTTCTTCTGGGATGGGAGTTCCTCCTCCATGTCAGAGTGACTTTGCTTGTATTATTTTTCACATAGTCATAGTTATTTTCATTTCCCTGTAGGTAATTTCAATATCTGAGTCATCTCTAGGTCATATCCTATTGACTACTTTGCCTCTTGATAGTGGGTTGTTCCTCTTGTTTTATTCTGTGTGTTGCTTGTTGCTTGTTATCGATTGCCAGGTGTAGGTACATAGCATGAATTCTGGGACACGAGCACCCCTCTTCTTTGACTAGGCTGTTGGTGTAGAAGTTTGAGTTGGTTGGGAGGGGAGTTGTGTTTGGGTTTTGTTGTTGCTGTGGTTTTCTTTTGCGTATCAAAGGCTTGGGGTCAGGTTTGCTGGAGGGAGGGTGTTTCCGGTGTTTTTGCTCCAGTTGAGCTTTAAGGCTTTCTGCACCTGTGCCCGAGGCTCAGCCGACCACAGACCACAGTAGTCTTGTTGCTGGGTACTTGCTACAATTGTTTTGGTTCAGCCTCGCCTTAGGCAGGCCCTGTTTCCCTGGCTCTGGGTGTGGATGGATCTTTCTGGGTGACCCCACTCCTCCCCCAGAGGTAGGACACCTCTAATGCTCTACCTCTGGATCCAAATATTCTGCCTCAGCTGTTTTGGTGGTGACAGTCTGCTGCCTTCTCCCCAGGTGTTTCATATTTTTATCCTTATTTGATTTTTTTGGGCTGCCTCCTGTATGTCCCCTACTGGGGATCTAGCCCGAAACCCAGGCTTGTGCCCTGACCGGGAATTGAACCGGTGACTTCTTGGTTCATGGGTTGATGCTCAACCACTGAGCCACACTGGCTGGGCAAGATTTTTCTTCTTTAGAGAAGGGACCAGGTAGACCTTTGTATTTTTCACAGAGTAGTGACTGCTTTCTTCAGACTAGTACTGCTGCAAGGCTTTCTCTGGTCTCCTCTCTAGTATTTCTTATGAGCCTCCATCAAGGTCTGTGGAGAAAAACCTCTGAGCTATAACCTTCCTATATAATAAAAGCATAGTATGCAAATTGTCCCCTCGACCGAGAGTTCATCCAGGAGTTCTACCAGGGGGCAGGGCTGGCTGGGGGAAGGGAGGGAGGCCCCGCCGGCCGGCAGCTGGCAGCCACAGGGGACCCTACCCTGCTGGTAATCTAGTAAGTTTTCCTGAATTCTGTGAGCTACTCTAGCAAATTAATTGAACTCAAGGAGGGGGTAGTAGGAACCCCCAACTTACAGCCAGTCAGTGAAAAGCACTGGTAACCACCTGGACATCGGAAGTGCTAGTAGGGGCAGGTTTGTGGGACTGAGCCCTTAACCTGTGGAATCTGACACTATCTTTGGGTAGGTAGCGTCAGAATTGAGTGAAATTGTAGGACACCAGTCGGTGTTGCGGAATTGCTTGATGTGTGGAAAACCCACACAGAAGTCCAAATAGAGTTCCCAGCTGGGGCTGACGGGACAGGAGGAGGCTGGCGTGGTCACTGGAGCCAGTTCTTCTGCTTCCGTGTCCAGTTGGGTGAAAAGGCAGCCCAGGTCTCTCTGCACCTGACTCGTGAGACTATAGGCTCCTCGGCTGTTTCCTTGTTTTGTTTGCATGCCTGGACTCACCTGACAGACGCGTGAAAACAAATAAGTTTCCAATTGCCTGCATAGGGAAATCTGCAGGCGTGGTGCCAGGAGTGAAAGTGGTGCCTCCTCTAAGCAGCCAGGCCTCGTCTACGCAGAGGTAGACTGGCTCACCTCCTCTGGGAGTGGGGGAGGGTTTACTAATGCCCCAGAGGAGCGTGTTATTTTTTATTTTTTTTTAAATATATTTTTATTGATTTCAGAGAGGAAGGGAGAGGGAGCGAGAGAGAGAAGCATCAATGATGAGAGAGACTCATTGATCAGCTGCCTCCTGCACGCCCCACACTGGGGATTCGAGCCCACAACCCAGGCATGTGCCCTGACCAGGAATGGAACTGTCACCTCCTGGTTCATAGATTGATGCTCAATCACGGAGCCACGCCAGCCGGGCCAGAGGAGTTTTTTTCCACCTGGGCTCAGGTCTGTGGTCTGACGGGGGACTGGGATAGGTAAGGCAGGAGTTTTGGGTGAGGCTGTGGAGATTGGAGTTTTGCCTGAGAACTGCTCACTCTTGAAGGCCCTGATTCCCTTGCACTGAGCTCACTGAGGCAAGGCTCTGGCACATCCATTTCGTCGAGCAGATTAGAGGCTTCTGGGAAGCGGATGTGCTGATCCATTCATTCTTTGTTTGAGATGCCATTCTTATCCATGGAAGTTATCTCCATGCCTGTGAAGGACTGATTCCTGGGTGGGAAATACATGGCCTACAGGATTCCTCTCTCCAGAAGGTGAGTCAGGAATAGGGAATCTGAATTCCTGACTCCAGGGCACAGGCATTGAGGGAGGGAGAGGCCATGCTGAGTGCAGGGTCAGGAAGGTGCCTTCTTCCTCGGACAGATTCTGGGTCCTTCGTAGGTAGGTTGTTGTAGAATCCAACGTCCTTGAGGTTTCTGGACTGGCCCAACTCTAATCCAAAGGTGGTATTGCGTGCACACATGCGTGTGTGTGTGCGTGTGTGTATGTGTGTGTGTGTGTGTTCCATCTCCCTTTAGGCTGTCTTCCAAAACCAGATCTGTGGATAAGAGGAACCTTATCTTATAGCTTTGATTGGGTGTCAAGACTTCTGGATCCTATTCTGGGAGAATCTTTTGGTAGACTCAGATGGTAGTGAGGGGCGTGCTGAGGAGAAAAGCAAGTAAGCCCATAGCAGATGAGCTCCACGTTAGCATGCCCCATGAATATTCTTTCTCCATCTGGTCTTATTATGTTACCCCTCTCGGAGCACCCTGGAAAAAAAGAAAGGTGTTGAATGGGCACGGAGCCATGGAGGAAGTAAGGTGGGTATTTTGGAAAGAGCAGCATACGGGTGTGTATTTTCATGAGGATCTTCTCCTTGGTCCAGTCTCTGCAATAGTGATGTGCCCTTGTCTGAGCATCTTCCTGGCCCTTCCCACCACATGCTCATGTTCTCTGCCCGCCTGACAGCAGCTGCAGACTTTCCCACATGTGGCTGGAGGCTGCAGAAGTCCCCGTTATGTTGGGGTGGAGGTGAGTGGGCAGGATTACCTGGGGATGGACAGTGCGAAGCCTTTCTCTCAGGCTGGCGGGGCTGTGAACCTGGTGCTGGGACTCTGGGTCTTCTCCACGGGGCAGGTTTGCAGGTCTTAAGCTGCAAAAACTACGTCCCAGGAGAATCTGTGCTATGGATAAAGCTAATGCCAGCCGACCCAGGGCGTCAAGCCAGGTACCTCATGTTGGAAGTCGCCTTCCTATCTTGCCTGATCGCTTCTGGTATCTTTCTTGGGAGCAGTTGCCACTTATTTCCCCGAGTCCCGTGTGGAAACAGGCTCATTGATTTCAGGTCTGTGTATGAGGCGTGCTGTTCCCACATAGGAGGTGGGCAGGGACATCTGCCTGCCCTGCAGGTCTAAACTAGCACCTCCCCAGCCCCTGCCTTAGACTGACATGCTTACATCCTTTGCCAGGCTGTCGTCCACACCGGTGTGAAAGGAGCTATTTGCCATGGAAGCCCGGGAGAGCACGGCGTCCACCTATCAGTTCATGTCCGAGGCCAACCAGCCCAGGGAGGAAGATGATAGCGTGGCACCTCAAGGGACCACGGAAACTATGCAGCTGAAGAAGGAGATCTCGCTGCTGAATGGGGTCAGCCTGGTGGTGGGCAACATGATCGGCTCAGGAATTTTTGTCTCGCCCAAGGGCGTTCTGGTACACACGGCTTCCTACGGGTTGTCGCTGGTCATATGGGCCATTGGCGGGCTTTTCTCTGTTGTGGGTGCCCTTTGCTATGCAGAACTGGGGACCACCATCACCAAATCTGGGGCCAGCTATGCTTATATTCTAGAGGCCTTTGGGGGCTTCATTGCCTTCATCCGCCTGTGGGCCTCCCTGCTAATCGTTGAGCCCACCAGTCAGGCCATCATCGCTATCACCTTTGCCAACTACATCATCCAGCCCTCCTTTCCCACCTGTGATCCCCCTTACCTGGCCTGCCGTCTCCTCGCTGCTGCTTGCATATGTAAGTCTGGGGGCTCTGGGGGAGTATGGGTGGGGGTTGGCGGTTACTTTAATGATGCTAATAGTACCTTCTATTGAACAGCATATTTTGCTTGTTGGGAGGAAAAGAGGTATTATGTCTCTTCAAGAAGTAATTTCTTTTTTTTTTGGAAAAAAATTATTTAAATATATTTTTATTGTCCTAACCGGTATGGCTCAGTGGATAGAGCCACCGGCCTGCGGGCTGAAGGATCCCAGGTTCGATTCCGGTCAAGGGCATGTACCTTGGTTGCAGGCACATCCCCAGTAGGGGGTGTGCAGGAGGCAGCTGATCGATGTTTCTAGCTCTCTATCCCTCTCCCTTCCTCTCTGTAAAAAAATCAATACAATATATTTAAAAATATATACATATATATATTTTTATGGATTTCAGAGAGGAAGGGAGAGGGAGAGAGAGATAGAAACATCAACGATGAGAGAGAGAGAGATAGAAACATCAACGATGAGAGAGAATGCATTGATCAGCCCCCTGCACGCCCCCTACTAGGGGTCGAGTCCGCAACCTGGGCATGTGCCCTGACCGGGAATCGAACCGTGACCTTCTAGCGGGGCTCAAGAAGTAATTTCACCAAAGTCATCTGGTCCTGAGATAAGGGCACAGGGTGGGGTGGGAGAAGTTTAAATTTGTTTGTGGCTGTGAATGCCTCACATTCCTCTCACTCTCCGCTGTCCCTGAGTTCTGTTCCCCAGTCTGTGACGGGTCGGTGCATGTCTTACTAGTGTATTTGTCTTGTAGGTGTTTTGATTGGAATTGATATCACTAGTTATAACTTAACCCGGAAAAAAACATCAGTGGTGAGGCCTTGATTATGCTGCAAAAAATAAAAATAAATGTTATTTTGCTTCCCAGCTTTTTATCTTAAACCAGTTTAGAGGCATCCGTGAGGAGATCGCTTCTTTAGATGGTGGGTGATCCCTCAGGCCCGCAGGCCCACAGGGCCGCTTCTGGCTGCCGCTGTCACAGCCGGTTCTAAGCAGCAGGCTCCACACCAAAACGGCTTTCCCCGCTGGTGTTTCAGATTTCTTTACACTGATCTGTAAACGAGTCCTGCCTGGGGCCAGTGAGAGGCAGGTGGGTGGCCTCTACCCTGTATTTGGGTTTTTGAGGAAAGAACCGAAGAGATCTCAGCGGATCCCTCTTTCTTTTTCATTTTTCTCTCCTAAGGTGGTAAGGAGGGATTCTGTGTGAAGTCGCCGAAAGGGAAAGAGGTGACGGTGAATTTCCCCAGTCCTGTAGAGCTGGTGTGTTTTCTTTAGCTGTGAAGTGGCCCAGAATTCCCCCCTGTGTTCCTTAGCATTGTGTTGCCAGAGGCACTTAATTATACTGTGTTCTTTCCATATCTCTGCTTGCAAAAGTTCTGGCAGTATATGTAATTTATCCTCCGGATTATAAAGGATTGTACCGTACACGGTGCCTCCTAACATGAAGGCATTTGTTACAGACAAATGTTAAAGGGAACCCCTCCACAGGTACCCCAGAGAGGCGGTGGGGGGAGGGGGGAGGGGGGAGGGGGGAGGGGGGAGGGGGGGTACGCAGTTGTATATCTGATAGGATTTGGCCAGGGGGACGTTGGCCCGACTGAGCTCTCTAAAAAAGGGAATGGTTTTCTGATTATAAAACATATTCATCAAGGAGAAAATTAATTTAGCCTCAGATTACCTCTTAATCTACCACCAAGAGTTGAGGACATTTTTTTGTTTGTTAATCCTCACCCGAGGATATTTTTTCCATTGATTTTTAGAGAGAGTGGAAGGGAGGGGGAGAGACAGAAAGAGAGAGAAACATCGGTTGCCTCCCGCATGTTCCCAGACCCGGCTGGAGATTGAACCTGCAACCCAGGTACGTGCCCTTGACTGGGAATCGAACCAGAGACCCTTTGTTCCGCAGGCCGACACTCTAACCACTGAGCAACACCAGTTAGGGCGGTAGTTCTTGAGGTCCCCAGGTCCCCTCTCCGGCCAGGTGCCCAGCATTGTAAGTATAGGTGCCCAGTACTTGATTTGACTGCAGAAGTGTATGTTTCTGGCTTAGTTATTGTCAGTACATTTATCTCTGTGGGATCCTGCTTTTTCTGTAGCCGCACACACATCATTGGTGAGTATTTTCTGTGCCGTTTTCAGCGTGGAAGTCAGTTCAGCACTGACATAGAGGCATCAAAGCAGAGGCCTCCTCACAGTTGAGACTCCATGGCCCCTGAGGGTTTGTTTGGCCAGGCCAACAGTGAGGAGGAGGAGGGGGAGGGAGAGAGGGAGGAAGGGGGAGGGTTGGAACGGTTCCTTCCCCTCCCTGTGGCCTCTGGGAAGAGGGAGCTGGACTGTCCGCAGAACAGGGACTACAACTTCAGGTTGCCAGGCCAGTGCACCACACCAATTCAATATGAGAGGCGCAGGTCTGTCTGAGGGCACATGTATTATTCAGGATTAGTTTGTGTTTCAAACACTGAAAACCAAAAGCAGCAGGGCTCACACATATTGAAATTTATTTCTTCCGCATGTCAAAAGCAGACGGCGTGGGGCTTGCAGGATGACTTCATAATCCTCCAGGGAGCCAGGTTCCTTCCTTCTGCCTCCCGGGTCTGTCCTCCTCAGCATGTGATTTCTAGCTGGTGGTTCAGGCCGGCTACTCAAGCTCAAGCTGTCCTATCTGCATCATGGCTGAGAGCAAGAACAAAGAAAGGCATGCCTTACCCTTTAAAGAGATTTCCTGAGGTCTTATTCATATTGCTAATGCATGAAAACATTCAAACCTGTGAAGAATTTTTGTGAGTTTATTTGAGCCAAACTGTCGACCATTGCTGGGAAGCAGAATCTCAACGTATTGTGTGAATGCTCCAGAGAATGGCAGTTTTTCACCTTGTTTTATATATTACCTTCAGAGGAGGGGATGTAAGAGGGTTACGTGAAACCCACTGGTGATCGATTAGGGAGGTGGGAGAAAGCAAAGCAGGGAAACCTCTGGGATTGGATAAAAATTAAATCGACAGACACATATTCTTATTTTTTAAATTTTTTATAACATCCTTTTTCTTTAAAAAAATATATTTTTATTGATTTCAGAGAGGAAGGGAGAGGGAGAGAGAAACAGAAATATCAATGATGAGAGAGAATCATGGATCAGCTGCCTCCTGCATGTCCCCTACTGGGGATCAAGCCCACAACCCGGGCATGTGCCCTGACCAGGAATTGAACCCTGACCTCCTGGTTATAGGTCTACGCTCAACCACAGAGTCACACCTGCTGGGCTGGGCATATACTTCTTTTACACAGGTGGGTACAGGATAGTTAACAGTCAGTTAATAAGATTAATAACAATGAACAACAATTAACAGCTAACAGTGAGGGAATTTGTGGTCTCCACCCTGGTGCCCTCACAGATTGGTTGTGCCTTGAGAGGTCTGGGAAAAGGGAAGTTACACGTCGCCCTGACGTCCCACAGGTATGTTATCTTAGATGCGAAAGGACAATAGGCTCAGTAAAGATGGAAGTTGATCTTTGTCAGGGAAAACACTGGCCTAGGACACGACTACCCACTAAGTGAACTGCTTTTTAATGAAAGGTTGTCGTTTCAGGCCACCCTTTGTGGTTCCTTTAGGCCTCTGGAGTTTGCCAGGCCACCACGCAGGCCTTCCCTGAGTGAGTCAGGCCAGCACGTGGCCCCTTTTTGTCCACACCATGGAACTTGGCTTACATCCTGGGGCAGGAGCCTAGTTACCTGGCCATACCTCCCTGCAAGAGAAGCTGGTCAATGTCCACTCTATTTGGGGGCAACCATGACTCTGGCTAAAATTCCTATCACTAAGATAAAATGGAAAAACAGGGATTAGAAGATAACTAGTGATCTTTGCCACAGAGAGACTTGGGGATTTGTTTCTGCTTTGGGATTGGGTCTGGATTTGCTATTTGAATGAATACTCCTTTCTCAGCAACCAGCTCCCAGAGAGACGTTCTGGGACGCATGGAGGAGTGAGGATCAGCTTGTGAAATTTTATTTCTTTTTTGATTATTTGTGGACGAAAAATATATTTAAAAAATATTTTTTAAAAACATATTTTTATTAATTTCAGAGAAGAAGGGGGAGGGAGAAGAGAGACAGAAACATCAATGATGAGAGAGAATCATTGATTGGCTTCTTGCACACCCCCCGCTGGGATTGAGCCTGCGACCCCGGCAGGTGCCCTGACCAGGAATGGATCCGTGACCACTGAGCCACGCCGGTGGGGTGACATTTTATTTCTTAATTAGAATCAGGAAAACATTCAGAGGACTTGACTGCTGCTTGGTAGACTGTTTTCAGAGCTCTCTGTTCCCTGGCAGGGCTGAGCGTTGGGTGAAGCAAGCAGGCGCCCGGGGCCAGCGTTTAAGGATGGTTTGCCAAGTGGCCCTCTGACAGCGAGTGCCTCCCACTAAGTATTTTTATTTTTACTGAGAAAGAAGCATATGTGCTCGGTAAATAAGTCTAAGGATAGCAGGGCACACGATGGGAAAGGTCTCCTCCCCAGAGGCAGCCACGGTGACCAGGCTCTCTTGTACCTTTCAGCTGGTCTTTCAGAAACGCTCCGCAGGGACCCCCACAAGGCACGGCCTTCACTCATCCCTTCAGCACCGGTCGTGAATTCCCACTGTGTGCAGAGAGGACTCAGCCGTGGGGGGACGTGAATTCCCACTGTGTGCAGAGAGGACTCAGCCGTGGGGGGACGTGAATTCCCACTGTGTGCAGAGAGGACTCAGCCGTGGGGGGACGTGAATTCCCACTGTGTGCAGAGAGGACTCAGCCGTGGGGGGACGTGAATTCCCACTGTGTGCGGAGAGGACTCAGCCGTGGGGGGACGTGAATTCCCACTGTGTGCAGAGAGGACTCAGCCGTGGGGGCCGTGTGGCAGGGCGGAGGGTAGGAGAAGGAGCAGAAGTGAGAGGGGGTGCCTGTGTGTGTGGCTCAGGAGTTTGTCAGCGTCCCTCCCCATCCTGCAACCGCATCTGGGTGCTACGAGCCAGGAGCACAGTCTCTTGGTGTGTCTGTCCATCTTTCTCCCTCTTTTTGTCCCTTTCTCCCTGCCTCTGCCTCCTCGTCTCTGTCTCTTATCTCTCTCTGTCTTCTGCGTCAGACTTTCATCACAAGCTGCACACCCTCTCACTTCTTTCCGTGGTCCTGCTTCCTTCCTCCGCTTTCTTGTGGTTCCTTTGTTACAGGGTCTGTCTGTGACTTTGACTCGCGGTGGCCCTGACTGCTGCGATGAGGTAGATTCTGTCTCTGAGTATCGCGACTCCATGTTCCTGGGAAAGATGATCCAACAGGCTCAGCTGGGGTCCAGTGTCCAGCTTGGTCAGTCAGGCACAACAGAGGCGGGGGAGGGAGGCCCGTACCTCACAATATCCTTACTGTCTTGCACCAGGGCCTGTGGATTACTGGTGGCTATCAACTAGGTCAGTGGTCGGCAAACTGCGGCTCGCGAGCCACACGTGGCTCTTTGGCCCCTTGAGTGTGGCCACGAAGTTTCAATTGCACTGTACGTGCGCGCCCGCACGTGGTATTTTGTGGAAGAGCCACACTCAAGGGGCCGCGGTTTGCCGACCACTGAACTAGGTGATCCTTCTGACAGCTGATCTAGGCTGAGCCCCACACCCTTTGGGTAGCAGGGCAGGTCCCTGGGAAGACCTGCTGGCAGCATGCGTTCCTTTGGTCTTCTCCCCTCCCCCTGACCTTCGCCCTCGCCCCCCAGCCCCCACCTCCTATGACTGTTCTAGCAAGCATCCGTGTCATTCATTTGCCAGAGGATGGAGTGAAAGCTCTCAGAGTGTTTTCGAGGCTGTTCGGCCACCGTGTCTTATTTCCACAGGCTGGCCCTAGCCTCTCTCTCCACTGAGTGGACGGATGTCCAAGTTTCTGACCCTCGCCTTGTTCCGGGGAATTCAAGGTTAAGTGAGAGTCATCACCTGCCTGATTCTAACAGAGTTCGCCCTTTCCCCTCTTTGTTTGGCAATAAGCTTAAGAAAACAAAATGCTTTTGTTTCCCCCTAAGAATTATGATCTCCTGGGGAAGCACCATCCAAATGCCCCAGGGAGAGACCTTCCTGAGACGGAGGTTCACATGACCACAGCCCCAGGATCTGAGCTGTGCTGTGAAGTGAGACTGCTGCAGCCGGAGGGGGAGAGAGAGCGCAGTGAGCCACTGGCTGGTTTGTCTGGGGAAGGTTTTACAGAGGAAGTGGGGTAGAGCTAGGCCTTGAAAGCGAGAGTTGCTGTGGCTACGGCAGGAGGAGAGGAGGACATTTCTTTTTCGTGCGTATCTGGCACCAGTAAAGAGAGAGTCTGGTGAAGTAGACAAAACAGGTGGGAGTCGGTAGGGGTGGTCTGGAACCCCTTGTGCATTGCCCTTGTGTCTTCCCTATGGATCAGAGCAGTACCTGGGCCCGGGTATCACCGAGGTGTGTGAGGAACTGGAACATAAAGCCACTGGTGCTGGCAGGAGCCCAGGGAATGCCCAAGTGGGCTCACTTCCCATGGACCGCACCGAGCACTGTGGGGCCTGGGAGAGATCAGTGGGGTCCACGTGAGCTTAGGAATGGTAGTTGGCCCCTTTCAGCCTCAGTTTTCTCATCTGTAGAATGGAAATCAGGGATGTCTGTATTTTGGGGCTGTGAGAATTAATTGACAGGATGTATGACAGATTTCTTTTTCACACTCATAGACAAAGCATTGCCTACTTCCTAAGTGAACTGCCACCTACATCCAGATTCACCTCATTTATAAAAATGGGCTCTCTTTGTGTCTACTACTCTTTAACGTGTCCATGCGCAGGGATTGTGCCCTGTTTTGTCTATGACCTTGAGAGTCTGAGTGGGCTTGGGAGTCTGAGTGGGCCTGGGAGAAATTTCCAAAAATGGTCTGGTTGTCAGAATTTATGAATACGGCCCCGGCCAGTTTTTCTCAGCGGTTAGAGCGTCGGCCTGCGGACTTGAAGAAGGGTTGCAGGTTCAATTCCCTGTCCAGGGCATGCACCTTTCACTTTGATGTTCTCTCCCCCCCCCCACCTCCCCCCCCCCTCATTCCTCCTTCCTCCCTTCCACTCTCTCTGGAAATCAATGGGAAGAGTGTCCTCAGGTGAGGATTAAAAAAACAAAACAAAAAAGACTTGATGAATATGAGTCATGCCTTTGTATCTTGTCAACAGTGAGGGGCTGTTCATGGGGACTCCCAGCTGGGGCACATGGGAGCTGTCCCTCCATTTGCCTGTTCTGGTTCTGACCGGTCCATTGGCCTCCTTGCTGTAGGCAGATAGGGCAGAAGTGATAGACTCCGGCCAAGGAGGTTGGGCCTCTGTGCTCTCCGTCGGAGCCTGCCAGGGACTGACTGTACGGTTTTTCTCCTAGGTCTGCTGACATTTGTGAACTGTGCCTATGTCAAGTGGGGCACCCGCGTACAGGATACTTTCACTTACGCGAAGGTCCTAGCGCTCATTGCCATCATTGTCATGGGCCTTGTTAAACTGTCCCAGGGTAAGGAGGGCCTGAGGCGGGAAGGAGGGTGGATGACTCCGGGAGGCCCCCGCGGGGATTCTGTGAGCTCTACGTTCAGCTCTTGGTACATGGAAGACTGTGTCAGCGAGAACAGGAGATCTGTTCCTGGGGCTCTTGGGTCAGGCCGGCTTGGCCAAATGGACATGAGCCAGCCCCTCCCTCAGGGCTTTCCCGTTCAGGAGGCTAAGCCAGTGGTCGGCAAACCCATTAGTCAACAGAGCCAAATGTCAACAGTACAACAATGGAAATTTCTTTTGAGAGCCAAATTTTTTAAACTTAAACTATATAGGTAGGTACATTGTTATTAACTTAATTAGGGTACTCCTAAGGCTTAGGAAGAGCCACACTCAAGGGGCCAAAGAGCCGCATGTGGCTCGCGAGCCGCAGTTTGCCGACCACGACCACGGGCGCTAGGCGCTCTGCAAGAAGCCGGCTGAGAGCTCTTGGAACTTGGGTCGTAATTGGGTCATAAAAGCAAACAGCGGGGATGGAGTGAACCCTGCTCTGGCTCCTATTTTTGGTCTGCGATTGCCAGGCAGCAAGTAGGGAGACTTGGCCCTCCTTGAGAGGGGCGGAAGGGTGTGTGTGTGGGTGGTGGGTGGGGCGAGGGGAGGGGATAGGGTATGAAAATGAATGATTACTTCATCTGGACTTGCTCTTATTCAGGATTCCTCCCCAAAGTCAGCTCTCAGAAAAAATATCAAAATAATGTGAATTTGGCACTGACTTTTCTGCAGGCTGGCTTTAAAAGCTTTTCATTCCTGCATCAGAGCAAACTGGCAGTGAGGGTAGCAGGCCTCCCAGGATCTCCTGAGTCCTTGGCGAAGTCCTCAGGCCCGGGCTGTCGTAATCCCTTTCACAACCATTCTCTGGACTTGGCTGTGTTTATAATCACCGGAGGCACTGAGACCCCCACCTCAGACCTGTTGGCTCAAACTCTGGTGGGCTTGGAGTTGAAAAAGGTCTGTTTTTAAGAAGCGCCCGTGCAGTTCTTAAGCAGCCGGCCCGGCACCTCTGCACACGTGCCGCCTTAGTGCGCACAGCCAGCCCTCCGGGTGTCCCTGGAGCCTCAGGAGCATCCGGCCCTCTTTGCCGCGCTGAGGGCCGGGTCTGGGCTTCCCGCGGGGGGGTGGGGGGAGTGGGGGGGGTGGGGGTGGGGGGTGGGGTGGCTCCCGCAGGGGGTGGCGGGCAGGCTCCCTTAGAAGTCTGGGTCTGGTTAAGAAACCTGCAGGGTGTCCAGGAAGTCTCTCCACGGGCAGCTGGCGCCCCCATCCTGGGCGTTCAAGTCCGTAAGAGTCTCCAAGAGAATGTCGAGTGCCTGGCTGCGCTTCAGGGGTGGAGGTGACCCAGGTCA